CCAGCACCATCTCCCACAGACCCAGCACCACCTCCCACAGACCCAGCAGACCCAGTACCATCTCCCACAGACCCAGCACCATCTCCCACAGACCCACAACAGCCTCAGCACTCAGCTCTGCTCTTCATCCCCCTCAAAAAACAGAGATGACCACAGCAGCTGATGCAGGCTCTGCCACAGCCCCTGGCCAGGCCATGGTGAGCAGAGCTTCTCCTCCTGCCTGGGTGTGAGGAGGGATGTCACCTTGTGTGGCCTCAGCCTGGGTGCCCCCCGGGAGCAGCAGGGCTGTTGGCTCAGCCCTGGGCAGGCTCTGAGGCTGCAGCCCATGCTGAGCCACACTCCTCGTTGCCACTTCCCTGTGGGTTGAGATGTGTGAAGTTTCCAGACTTTGTGTGGTGAGCAGGAGGACACCCCTTCAGGGAGGTTCTACAGCATCAGGTTCTGGCCATCCCTGGCATAACCTTCCTGCAGGGACTGCTACCATCTGGTGCCAAGGAGTTTGTAGGGATGGAGCATCAGGATTGCACAATCTGGGCTTTTAATCTCAGCTGTGGATGTTCTCTTGCCTTCTGAAGCAAAGGGGTTGTACAAGTTGGAGCTGTTGGCAGCGAGTTCCATGAGTGGGGCTTGGACCAGAAACCTGCTGGAGCCCTCACACCAGAGATCATCTTCTGGGTGTCTCAGCAGGGCCCTTTGTGGGTTTTCTTTTGCTTGCTGAAGAAGCAAGGAGACAGGTTCACCAACTCCTGGTTTTTGACCTACAGAAAGGTGCTTGTTTGGTGTGACTTGGGGCACATCTCCCCATCCTGATCCTGCAGCTTTTCCTGAGCCAGAACAGGCCCCCAAACTGCTGGGTTGAAATGCTGGGCTCTTGGGCTGGGTCCAGCCAGGATGCTGAAGTCCTCCCCTTGGGGGTCAGTCTGCCCTTGAGGTTTCTTAGTGTCTGCCCGACCTGGGAACCCTGTTGGCCACTGTGGACACCGACCTGTGGGTGCTGCAGGGGTTTTGGGGAGCAGTGTCACCTCTGCCCTGCAGGGCTCTGCACCCCTTGGTGCCTCCTGCTGCTCTAGGGCTCAGGGGGGCCAGGCTACCTGCTGCTCCCCAAACCAACCCTTCAGCTGCCCCCTCGGCTTGCAGGGGCTGTGATCCCATTCACCAGCATCTCCTGGACCTTCCCCTGGTGACAGCAACCCCAGAGGATTTTCACAGCCCTGGAAGTTGGGTCCATGCCCTGGGGCTGTGTGAGCAGCAGGGCCAGGGAGGAGGTTCTGCCCCTCAGCCCCAACCTGCTGAGACCTCCCTGCTGGGCTGGGGGGTCCCCAACACAAGGAGGACAAAGAGGGGCCTGTAGTGACAGGACAAGGGGTGATGGTTTTCAACTGAAAGAGGGAGGTCCAGACTAGAAAGAAGGAAGACATTTTTCACCACAAGGGGGGTGAGACCCTGGCCCAGGTTGCTCAGAGAGGTGGTGAATGCCCCATCCCTGGGAATGCTCCAGGTCAGGTTGGCTGGGGCTCTGAGCAACCTGATCTAGCTGAAGGTGTCCCTGCTCACTGCAGGGGGGTTGGACTGGATGACCTTTAAAGGTCCCATCCCACCTAAACCACTCTATGAAAAGAGGCTGTTCCTGTGAATCAGCCGCCCCGTTTCCTGCCTCAAGTTCCTGGAGCTGCTGCAGTTTCACTGCTGAGCTTCCCTTCCACTGCACAACCAGCATCCCTGGAACCTCTTCCTGCCCATCAGTTCTCCCTCTCTCAGGGACCCTGAAGGAGCTCGGGTGTTCCTGCCAACTGACCCTCCTGGGGGGACGGGGTAAGTTTCCCCTGTGCCTGTGTGAGGTTTTATTCACCTTCTGGTTTGGGGAGAACCAGGTTCTGAAGGTCACCCCCTCCCTGGCTGCAATCCCTGCCACCCCCCTGAGCTTTCAGCTGAGGCTTTTTTTCACATAAAGGCTGAAGAAAAAGCCCTGGAGGGCTCAGAGACACCAGGTTGGTTCCTGGGCCTGGTTCCACCCCTTCACATCCTCATCAGCTCCCCCTGTGCTGCTGTTTGCCAGGTAAGTGGTGCCTTCTGGGACTCATTTTCCAGCTCAGTGAAAAGTAAAGCTATTTATTCATATTTTTTTATATTTTATTTTTTTCTGCTTTGTCTTGTGAAGTTAAGGCAGGTTTCAAAACCCTGAGTAGCTCTTAGGTGTTTGCTTCCTACTGCTCAGAATTTCTCTCTGAGCAGGGATCCTGCTCCTCTCTCCTTAGGGAACCATTGCAGGGAGCAACACTTTGCTTCCACAAAGTGGGATCAGCCCGGGCAGCACATCCAGACCCTGAAGAGTCTGAGGGATTGATTTTTTCTTGTCACCCCGAGGGCTGCAGCAGTTCTGCTTTGGGTGGGGAAGAAAGGAGCTGCTTGTCCCTTGGCAGCCAGAAATCCCTGCCTTGGGGTCAGTTCCTGGGGGATTGGTTGGAAAGCAAAGCCCAGGGACAGGCAGAGGTAAGCAAAGGGTTGGTGCAAGGAAGAGCCTGCAGTGCCCTGGGCTCCTCTGGGGGAGAGGCTGCTCTTTAGCTAATAACCCTACAAATTCCCTGACCCCCCCGGGTTAGTTTCCTGGCTTTACTAAAATGGGAGTTAAGGACTAAGGAGGAGGAATCTGGACCCTGTTTCAGCCAGGCCTGGGCAAGTCCTGCTGAGGACTTGGACCCTCCTGAGCTGCTCACACCAGGTTCATTCCTCACCACCCTGGAGCACCCAGGAAGGTGCAGGAGAGACCAGAGGTGCCTCTGTCTAAAACTGCATCAGCCACAGGACACCCTTGAGCCCGTGGTGTCCCCAGGGGTGTCCCCAGGCAGGTGCTGGCCAGGAGCCATCCTGCCCCATCCCTGGGGATGTGGTGTTGGGCAGGGAGCCTGGAAATGGCCCATTACATGGAGCCATGATCCCCAAGTGTCCACGAGCATCCTGGGGAGATGCTGGGGAGCAGAGTGGGAGGTGAGAGCCAGGAGGTAAACCCAGGTGCTTAAACATAAGCACAAGTGTGGGATTTCAGGATCAACCAGACACCCTGGGAGGCTCCCAAATGACCAGGGATATGTTTTACCACTGGTCCCACCCAGGGACAGGGCTGGGGGCCTTGCAGGCACTTGGTGCTGCCACAGCAGCCTCACCCCAGGGCTCTCCTGCCAACAGGAGCCTGGCACAAAGGTGGGTCACCCTGTGGTTGTGATGGTGATCAGTGGAGAGAGCAGCTCTGGGGGAGGCTGTGCTCCCAACCAGCCTCCCAGCTCTTGGTGCCACCAGGGCTGGTGTGGGTGGAGGAGCAGCAGCAGCCACCTCCCCTTCCCATGCCCTTCCCTCCAGGGGAGAGGGGCTTCAGCCCAGGCACCCTCACCAGGCTGTGAATTAACAGCAGCAGCTCCTGCCCAGCAGGGTGTCCTGCTGGGTGGGACAGCAGGAGGAGCTTCGGTGGAGCTGAGCAAGGTGCAGGGAGGAGCAGAGGTTGGTGAAGCCACTTGCTGGACAGAACTGGCTGTGATAATGGTGGTGTAGGTGATGCTGGGGTCTCACGAGTGATTTTAAATGCAAAGGCTTTTGGAGCCAGGCAGGAACAGCATCATCTCTTTCACCTTCCCCTGCCAGTAGCAGAGAACACGTAAGCTGCTTCTGCAGATCCTTTCAAGTCCTTTCTGTTTCCTTTGCAGAACAACCAGAGGAAGCCCAAGGGAGGGTCTGATTCCCACCAGGCTGTTTCGTTCCATTGTGAAAAGCAAGACTTGGCCCCTTGCACCTGCCAAGTGTCCTCCTGTGCAGGCTGGGGGAGACAGTGGCCAGCCTTTGGCCACAGCTCCTCAGGCTCAGAGCTCTCCTGGAATCCTGCCTCTGCTGCTCCATCCCTGCTGCCCCTGGCCCAGCTCAGCCTTCAGGCGACGGGCTTGGGGGGCTTTGCTGGTTTCCCTTTGCCCCCCCAGGCCCTGCAAGGCAGCACAGAGCCTTCCCCTCAGCACTCACAGCAGCTGGGCCTCCCCCCCCTTCCATGAACATCAGCACGGGCTGCGTGTCCCAGGGGCTGCACCCCAGCATCCCTGCCCTGGGGACCCTGCTCCTGCTGGGCTGTGTCCTGCTCAACGGCACCAGCTGCTGGGTCTTCTGCTGCCGCATCAAGCACTGGGACCCGGGCATGATCCTGCAGTTCAGCCTGGTCCTGGGAGACATCCTGGCCATCCCTGTCGCTCCCTTCAGGATCTCCTACCTCAGCCTGGGCTACCAGTGGCCCTTTGGGCAGTTTCTGTGCCAGGTGGAAGCCTTCCTGCAGAGCACCCACACCTACAGCAGCATCTACTTCCTGACGCTCATCTGCATCCAGCGGTACTTTGTGGTGGTGAGGTACAAGAGCAGGTCCCTCTGGAAGGAGAGGAGCTTCTTGAGAAAGCTCTGCCTGTTTGTCTGGCTCGTCCTCTTTGCCCAAGGGCTGCCTGTCTTCTTCCTCCTCAAGACGTCAGCGATGAATGGCTCAGCCACCTGCCTAAACATTCACCAGTCCGAGTTGTCCTCTGTTTACTTCTTCTACAACATGGGCTTGGTTGTCCTCTCTTTCCTCCTCCCCTTTGCTGTTTACTTGACCTTTGGAGCTCTGCTGGGAGCTGCCATTGCCAAAGCAGCCAAGAAAAGCTTCAGAGGGCAGAAGATGAAGAGCAGGTCTCTGCAGATGCTAACAGTCTCTCCGGTGATTTTTGCTGTCTGCTTTGCCCCCCTGCACATCTTCAGGACCATTGCTGTCACTGGGAAGTACTTTGGTATGTCTTGCAAGCTCTTGCACCGAGTTGAAGTTGCCTACTACAGCAGCTGGGTGGTCACCATGGCCAACAGCTGCCTGGACCCCCTGATTTATGTGTTTGCTAATGACAAGTTCAAGAGGAGCTTTGCCGAATCCTTCCGCAAACGCTGGGGCACCAAGTGAGTCTGAAAGGCCAAGAAGCCACCCTAGACCTTCCCAGGAGATCCCACGGGGGGGCTGCTGAGGATCCAGACCCCAAGCTTCTCCTCCTGCTGTGCTCTCCTGTCCCAGGTCCCCAGAGCACTGCAGGAGGGTCAGGGCTTCTCTGAGCTCCTGCAGTGTCACCTCAGGGCTTGTTCTCGTGGGCAGGGACTCCCTGAGCTCTGGAAGCTCCAACTACCACCAGTCCTGCCAGTTCCCCAAGGGCTGGATCTCCCAAACGTGGACTTCTTTACATTGCTGAAGTGGCCAGACCCTGCTGGGTGCAAGGGAGAAGCAAGGGAAGAGTTTACGCCTAAAATAATAAAGCATGAGAGAAGCCAGTGAAAACTGCCCTGAATTTCCTGCCCATGAATGTTCTGCTTTTCCTTTTCCCTCAGGAGCAGGGGCTGTGGGAGCCAAGGAGGGCACAAGTCTGTGTCCAGCACCCTGGCACAGGGAAAACTGACCCACATCCAGGCACCTGCTTGTCCCTTGGCCACCCAGCAGTGGGCAGCTCCCCAGCCCTGGAGGCAATCCCAGTGCCCTTGTGCTGGGACCGCAGACCCTCTGACCATCAGTTGGCCCTTTGCAGATGGAAGGAAAAGGTGGCAAGTGTGTCGTGGGTGAGCAGGGCAGGAGGGAGAGGCATGAATGGGGAAAGGGGCTTTATCAGCCTGGTAGGAATCTCAAATTCAGTCTGTTGGAAAGTCCTGAGAAGCAGGAGTCCAGCCTTAGCCTCAGGAACACTGGTTTGAAAGCCTGCAAGGAGCTGCCTCCATCCTGCTCTGGGTGGCAGCCAGGGAAGAACAAGGCCTCTTGGAAGAGTCTGGGTGAAGGACACAGAAACCTGGAGACTAAATGCAGAGCCCATTGCCTGGTTCACGTGGAGCTGGAGGTGAGCAGGGCCAGAGCCCTGCCTGCTGCCTTGCAGTGATCCCTTCACCTTGTGCCAAGGAACCAGCCTCATGGTCTTCTCCTTCCTCCACTGGCCTCTGGAGATGGGAGCTCAACAGCCCTGGGACAAGTGGGTTCTCCTTCCAGGAGGTGGGAAGTGGCCACTCTCTGCTGCTGGGGAAGAGGGAATGGAAGAGACTGAGCTCCTGGGGATAAAACCAGTGAGCTGGGAGCTGGGTTGACCAAGACAGAGGAGAGGGAACTGTGGGAAGCAGCATTTCTTGGACTGGCCAGGGTTTCTACAGATTGAAATGCAGAATAACTTTCAAAAACATGATAATTTGGGGCAGGGTAAGAGAGGCTCTTGTGTCTCACCTGGGGGATGCCAGAGGGCAGTGCTGGGGGCACTGGTTGCACGAGCATCAAACTGGAGTTTCACAAGGGAAAGTGAGGTGCAAAGCAGGACATCTCGAGGCTGTGAGGTCCAACCCTTCCCTGCCTGGACCCACCTCTGTGTGAAACAGTCCCAGCCAAGTGGGGCTGTGCAGGATAAAGGCAGATGCCCCTCTGAGCAGGTTGCATGTGGTTGGTGTTGCAGCCCGTGGGAAAGGGGCAAAGGCAAGAGCCAGGGCCAGACACAGGAGATGCTCTCCCAGTTAAGGCAAGAGCTTGGAGATCCAGGTTCTGTTTTTAGGCTTCACTGCAAACTCATGAGCATGACACAGGATCCCTGTTCCACTTCCCTGTCTTCTCAAATGGTCTGGGTCAACCTTTCCTTCCCTTTTCTGTCTCTCCTCTTTCCATGGAAAACCAGCAGTTACCAACAGCTGGAATTTGCTCTTTGCATCAGCAAAGGCAGATGCAGAGACCTTGGTTTCCTCTGGGTTTTCTGGAGAACACTGCAGTAAGTGCTGCTATCAGGACAAAAGGGAGAAAGTCTTCATCTCCTGTGAGGAGCTGGGCTGCACTTGGAAGGTTCATCAAGGTTTTGCTTCCAAGGGCTCAACTTCAGTTTGGGTTTGGGCACCTTGGCTATTGGTGAAGCACCTGGGGGCTGCCAGATCCTTCCCTCAGGGCAGGTGTGGTGGGTGAGGAATCTGTGCCCTGCTCCCAGGAGGGGTGTGGGTGCCTTTCCCAGCACCCATCCTGCCAGCAGCACCAGCAGGGGCTGGGGTGGTCGTGAGGCTCCTGGTGCAGCAGGAGGGCAGCTTGGAGGGGCTGCTCTAATGTACCCAGCAAACAGAGCCATAGAATCCCAGACTGGCTTGGGTTGGAAGGGGCCTGAAAGATCATCCAGTCCCAACCCCCCTGCATGGGCAGGGACTCCTCCCACCAGCCCAGGTTGCTCCAAGCCCCATCCAACCTGCCCTTCAACACTGCCAGGGATGGGGCAGCCACAGCTTCCCTGGGCAACCTGGGCCAGGCTCTCACCACCCTCACAGCAAAGAATTTACACCTAATGACTCATCTAAATCTCCCTCTCCTAGTTTTCATCAATCCCCCTTGTCCTCTCCCTCCCTGCCCTTGTCCCAAGCCCCTCCCCAGCTTTCCTGGAGCCCCTTCAGGCACTGGAAGCTGCTCTAAGGTCTCCCTGGAGCCTTCTCTTCAGGCTGAACAACCCAACTCTCCCAGCCTGGCTCCAGAGCAGAGCTGCTCCAGCCCCTGGATCATCTTTGTGACCTCCTCTGGACTTCCTCTGGAGGAGAATCATGAAGCATCACCATGGCCCCAGCACCTCCTCCAGCTGGCTGCAAGGCCCCATCATGCTGTGCCTCAGTTTCCCTCCCTGCCCTCATCAGGTGAAGATTGTCACCCATCCTGAGCATGGAGAGCAGGGGGTGGCAGTTCTGCCTCTGGGAGACCTTCTGGGAGACCTTCCCTCTGGGAAACCTTTGGGGTTGGGAGTCCAGATCCCATCCCAAGCCATTCCCCAATCCCAAATGTCTGAGCCTGCTCCTGGGGAAGGTGTGGGTGTGGGATGGAGGGTGATCATCCTGCACAGCTGGAGGGGGGAGGTGCTTCCCCAGGGCACTAAGCCCCACTGGTTCCTCTCCTGGGACCAGCTCTGCCACATCACCCTTGCTGTGAGCACCAGGACCTGCCTGGTAAGGGTCAGACAAGGTGTGATTTTTGGCTTTCTGTGGAGGTGGGAGATGTGGGGAGGGTCACAGGGGGTGCAGCTGGGGGTCAGCCAGCAGTACCCAGGGCCCTGGCACTGTCCTGCCCAGGGTGAGTGTCCCAGCACTGGCTGCAGATGATGGTTGAGCTCCCCAGGGAGGTGCTGGCTCCTGCCTCCAGCCACCCTGATGCTCCAAGGTCTCTTCCCAGGGAGATGCTGGTGAGGCTGCCAAGGGGTGGGACGTGGGTGGCACCTGGGTGAGGGGCCAGAGGGAGGGTCCCCATCCAGGGTTCACCTTCCCCTGTTGGTCTTGCAGGACTTGGAGCCCTGGCAATGGTTCCCTCCCAGGCTTGGTTGCACATGTTGGTGGCCATGGAGTGTCCCTTCCTCAGGATGATGCCACTTCACTCCAGCCACTGGGGGGGGGGGTCACATCTCGGGGGGGGATCCCACCAGTGGTGATGCCACAGCCTGTGGGTTCCCCCAAGGTGTGGTGGGTTTTCCAGGCTCTTCTGGTGTGGGGCTGTGGCTGCTCCAGCTCTGCTGGGGCTGTGGCTGCTCCTGTCCCACCTCCCTTCCATCTCCTCTCCCTCCTGCCCAAAGCTGGGACAAGTGTGAGCAAACACCTCCAGGGGGTGGAGGGGGGCCTGTGGTGCTGCTGGGAATGGGTTTCACCCTGCCCAGGGGTGCAAACCCATCGTGGGGCCACGAGTCTCCCCTGGCTCAGGGTGTGCATCCCTGGGGGGGTCCCATGGGCTGGGGGTCACTCTGAACTGGGGCTCATCAGGCAGGCTGGGAGAGTTGGGGTGTTCAGCCTGGAGAAGAGAAGGCTCCAGGGAGACCTTAGAGCAGCTTCCAGTGCCTGAAGGGGCTCCAGGAAAGCTGGGGAGGGGCTTGGGACAAGGACAGGGGGTGTTGGTTTTAAACTGGAAAAGAGGAGATTGAGGTGACATTAAGGAGGGAATTCTTTGCTGTGAGGGTGGTGAGAGCCTGGCCCAGGTTGCCCAGGGAAGCTGTGGCTGCCCCATCCCTGGCAGTGTTGAAGGGCAGGTTGGATGGGGCTTGGAGCAGCCTGGGCTGCTGGGAGGTGTCCCTGCCCATGCAGGGGTGGGACTGGATGATCTTTAAGGTCCTTTCTAACCCAAACCAGTCTCTGACTCTATGTTCTGGGGAGGTGGAAGCCCCCCAAGGAGGAAGGATGATGCTGCCACTGCTGGGTGGGGGACATGGCCCTTCCTCCAGCTGCCCTGGTTCCTGCCTCCTGGCTCTGGGCCACCCTCCTCTTCCTCCTGCTTGGCCCCTGGGAGGCTGAAGCAGCCCTGGGTCTGTCCTCAGTCCTCGTGAGGAACCTTCTGCACCCTGAAAGCTGCCCTGGTGCTGCCACCCCTGCTGCTCACCCTGGCCAGGACATGCTGAGCAGGAGTTGCCTTCAGCCCAACTAGCTGAGGAGCTCATGCCCTTCCAGCTGCAGGTCAGGGATGCAGAAGTCACCCTTGCTCTGGGTGTGCCCCTGTCCCCAGGCCAAGTGGGACAGGGCTGTGCTGGGCTGCTCTGGGGCAGGGCTGGTCCCTGCAGAGCCAGGGGCAGGGAGGGTGGCTGGGACCTCCCTTTCACCCCCCTGTCATCATCCCCCCTGCTCTGGGTGGGTGTCAGGACAGGGCTGTGTCTTTCCTGCCACGTGTCCCCAGCCTTGGGGTGAGGGGCAGGGGCTCAGTCACAGCAGCAGGAGGGGGAGGGACCCCAAGGTGCTGTCCCTGTCCCCCTCCCCCAGCTCCTCTGCCCCAGCATCATCCTCCTCCCCAGGTGCTGGTGGTCCCTGGGCACCTGGATCTGCTTAAAAACAGGGACAGATGATGAACCCCTGCAGGTCCTGGGGCAGTTTGGAGCAGCTGGTGGTGCTGGCAGCCCAGCTGCTGTGCCTCAGTTTCCCTCCCTGTGCCAAAGCTGCCTCTTGCAGGGGGGTCCATTG